GGAATGAGCTCCCGTCACTTGTCCCAGCTCCCGCCAAACTAGCGGTTTGAAAGCATGCAAATGCGAGTAGATAAATAGGGACCACCTCGGTGGGAAGGTAACAGCGTTCCGTGTCTAAGTCACACTGGCCACGTGACCACGGAAGATTGTCTTCGGACAAAAACGCTGGCTCTATGGCTTGGAAACAGGAATGAGCGCCGCCCCCTAGAGTCGAACATGACTGGACAAAAAATTGTCAAGGGGAATCTTTACCTTTACCTTTAAGGCACTTAACAGTTTGGGTACAAAATGTTCAAAAAAACCCCACTCTTTCGTGAAGAAAAGGAAATGCAACTGGAACAGCTCAGAGATTCCTTTATTTTTTGGCCTGTGAGAAGTTTGCAAACATGTACTGTACATTGGTCTGAGAAGAAGTCCCACTGAACGGGTTGGGACTTGCCTCTGATAATATACGTAGGACCTCAGTGCTAATGTAATGGAAAGCGTTCAAAAAATCCCCCACTCTTTCATGAAGAAAAGGAAATGCAACTGGAACAACTGAGAGGTTCCTTTATTTTTTGGCCTGTGAGAAGTTTGGAAACACGTACATTGGTCTGAGAAGAAGTCCCACTGAACGGGTTGGGACTTGCCTCTGATAATATACGTAGGACTTCAGTGCTAATGTAATGGAAAGCAAAGCAAAAAAGCGTGCTGCTTATATACCGCCCCATAGCGCTTCAAGCACTCTCTGGGCGGTTTACAATTTAATTATGCAGGCTACACATTGCCCCCCCAGCAAGCTGGGTACTCATTTTACCGACCTCGGAAGGATAGAAGGCTGAGTCAACCTTGAGCCAGCTACCTGGGATTTGAACCCCAGCGTACAGTGAGCACAGTTTTAGCTGCAGTACAGTGGTTTAACCACTGTGCCATGAGGCTGAAAGCTTCACTAGCCTGCTTAAATTATTACTTACCTGACCCCATGCAAGTACCAGGAATGCTACTGTAGTTGAATTAGAACTAGGGAAACTGAACTTCAGTCCCAGTTCAGCATGAGCCAATCATGCACATGCTTTCAGCTAACTTGTTTCCTAGAATTGGTGTGAGGAAAGTTGGGTAAATGAATGGTTAACTGTTTAGTCTGGAGCCACTGCAAACCATATTTGGCCAAGCCTATACCAGAGTTAAGCTGCTCTTGGAAATATTCCAGTTTGCTACATAAATTAAAATTAGCCTGTTCGCTTGGGGCTGCATGGGAAAAATTTGGAGGTGGGCCCCTACCACCCCAGGATATTTTTCTGGTCCTAGACTGACTTACCCCTTATCAAAAAAAGAATGACAGTTTCTGGAAACTTCCAGAATTAGCTATTTATCTTTTAAATCAGTTGCAGCCACCGCCTGTATTTCGCTAAAGTGCAAGCAGACGTAGCCTGCTGTCTTTGAGCTGTGGGGAGGTATTTTTGGTGGACAGAAGTGGCCAGGACTCGAGCAGAAAAGTGGTGGATTGACCCCCACCTATGTTGTAATCTTTGCTTCCCACTCACCTAATGTCGTGGGGCCAATTAATTTTTGTTGTTCAAACTAATAAAAGGGGGGAGGAAAGGCAAAACAAGTACGTACAGTTGAAGTACTGTCATCATGAAAAATTGATGTCAAAAGTAGGCATGTGTTCCATTTCATTATGGCTTAAATTTCATTTGTGAGTTGAAAGGATGAGTTGGTGAGATGATCGTAATAATGGCTAATTAGGTTCTGCCGCGGCCATCTGCCGCTTTGGATCCCATTTCTTCTCGCAACTCCTCGAGACCATAGGAGAGCAATCCTGCTCCACAGGTGGTTCATTAGCTGGAAACAAGTAAATTAATTTATTAGGAGGATTACCTTCTGTTGGCTTTTATAGCATGTCTAAATATATTTCAAAATCCGTAATCATCTGTAATTGATGTTGTTCAGTAATGCAGAGCGAATACAGTCATTGCTGTTGAATTGAGATCTGAAGATCAGCGTTATTTGGGCTGAGTCCACAGCTGATGGGGGATGATGGAGGTTGTACTCCAACACATTTGGAAGGCACAAGATTGGAGAAGGAGGCCCTAATTATTAGGGAGGGGCCCCTTTTCTAGCGGGACCCCAAAGCGGTTGATGAATTTTTCTAGAGTTACTTCTCCTTTGGTATCCAATGAAGTGTCTTTCAGCATGACAGCTAAGGCTTCTTTATTGAAGTTTTATAATATTCAGAGCTGGGAAAAGTTACATTTTAGTTCTGGAGTTCCCAAGACTATGGGCTGCGTTAGCTTGGGATTCCTGGGTCCAAAAATTAAACTTTCAGATCTCTGAATTTAACCCATGAAAGGCCCATTAAAAGTCAGGCATCAGCTCAGCCGTCTGGATCTGATACTCTCTTTTTTTGCTATAGATTTGTACCTTTCTGTTTATCATTAATTATTTCTGAACCAGTACTTTCCAGCAGGCTGACTAACATTTTTTCCATAGCCCCATAGTTTAGCACAGAATCTCTCTGTGCAAACCTGCCTGTGTTTCTCATACCAACAAAGTGTCCGTTGCTCATGTTGCTAAGCAATGAACGGATAAACTTGGCCACAAACTCCTTAGGCTAGTGAGTCAAACAAGAACTATTGTATGTCTTTAAGCTGGATTGAGTTTAAAGTGCAGACAAAGCCACAGTTTGCAAATTCGAGTCACGTGGCTTATCTACAAAGGAGTGTTATTATTAGTACAGTATATTAAATGAGCAGCAAGAGAGCTGAATGCAGGAAGGACTGAAAATAAAAAACCAGAGGCCGTAGTTTTCCATGTTCTTGTCAAAACTTTTATGAAGGATTTAGAGATCTTTGGATTACTGTCAGTGCATGGAAAATTTATGACAGTATGTTTGCTTTGCATAATGCGAACCAGAATCTGATTTCAAAGCAATATTTTATAACCACTATCTCATCTTTTTAGTTCATTATTGATTAACATAATACCACCTCTAGAATGTTCATAGTCTATAAAGTTAATTAATAACCTGGAACACTGAAGCAAGCTAACACCCTTTATTTTAATATAATTTGTGTTTAATTTATTTAGATTCGAAAGACTTAGCATTTTACTTTCTGGTTTCTAGTGCACCCTCTTAAGATAGTTTAGGGTCAAGTTAGAAACCATTTAAAATTGTACTGAAACCGGGGAATAGAGAATTCTCATCAAATACACATTTTCCTCAGGGCTTCGAAAAGCGGGTATTACCCTGGATTTTTATTTCCCTCACCGGCTGCATTTGTTATGTGACAGTCTCCCACCCCTATCATATTTTACATATACTTCCCTATTGAAAATCTATGAGCAGATTGTGGTTCTTCCGTTTTGATAATACGCAAGTCAGAGGAGAATGAAATGCGGAAACATGTTTTCTGTAAGCATAATGTACATCCTCCGTTTTGCACTTCAGAGGAACACCTGGACAATATAGAGGACAGTCCTTCAGAAAGTAAATAATCAAATGATCAGTTGCCAGAATGAAGAACCAGTTGCAAATTTTGAACAATTAAAAAATAGCCATACTTACAGGGATATTCTGGGAGCTGTAATTTAAAAAAAGTAATATCCAAATCTTTGGTTTCTCCACTTTTCTCCCATTTTTATAAATAAATCTGTTTGTAAATATAGGGTTCTCTTATGTTTATAACACTGGTGTTTTGTTTTCTTTTTGCCTGTAGTGCCATTTCTGTATGTGTTGCTTACAAGGGGCAGGCTCATGGCGCAGTGGTTAAACTGCCGTACTGCAGCCAAAACTGTGCTCACAACCTGGGGTTCAATCCCAGGTAGCGGCTCAAGGTTGACTCCTGAAGGTTGACTCAGCCTTCTATCCCTTCCGAGGTCGGTAAAATGAGCACCGAGCACCCGGCTCGCTGGGGGGGGGCAATGTGTAGCCTGCATAAATAACTTGTAAACCGCCCAGAGAGTGCTTGAAGCGCTATGGGGCGGTATATAAGCAGTACGCTTTGCTTTGCTTTATTGTACTTTGGGCAGATAATGACAGCTCATTTGCAAAGACAAAAATGAAAGCAACAGGGGAAAAAGATGAGAACTAAATGGGATGACTCAGTAAAGAAAACAACAACTTTGAGTTTGCAAAAGTTGAGCATGGATGTTGACAACAGGACCTTGGAGGTCATGAATTTGGACCTGTCACAACCTAACAGCACATAACAGCAACACTTGGTGGCTGCCCAAATTAAATCTGTAGTGTCTGATTTTGATCTCTGCTGGAAATGATGTTTGTGTATTTCTGTGGCACCTTTTATATGTTGTTGTTCAAGCTTCCCACCAGTTCACACAAAATATTAACAAAATGTCAAGAGATCTCTTATGTCCTTCACAACTAGTAGCCAGGGAATAGCATGAATGTTGATATTTAGTGCTTCTGTTAGGTCACTTGCATTCCTTCAAGAGTTGTTTGGCTGATCTCCAGGCTTAAAAGGAAGGTACCTCAAAATGGCAGATGCAGGAGAGGAATATCAGGAGACAGGGATCTAGTGGCCTCGTGTGCTGCCAGAGGTGTCTGGTGGGGGCCCCTGTGAGATACAGGAAGCTGGACTAGATGGGCCCTTGGCCTGATCCAGCAGGGCTCTTCTTATGTTCTAATGACATCTCCTTGTAACCAAAACCTACAACTATATTATTGATCTAAAATTAGAAAACAATCCTCTCCAATATACAGATCTGCTTGTTTCTCTGTGTGGTGCTGGTAAGAAAAAGGATGTCCTCTAAGTAGTTGTGTAACATAAGCTTTTATGTGTCCCCCCCCCCATTTTCTAGGTATAGAAAATGTTCTCCCGATTAAGAATCATCTCCTTGTAACCAAAACCTACAACTATATTATTGATCTAAAATTAGAAAACAATCCTCTCCAATATACAGATCTGCTTGTTTCTCTGTGTGGTGCTGGTAAGAAAAAGGATGTCCTCTAAGTAGTTGTGTAACATAAGCTTTTATGTGTCCCCCCCCCCATTTTCTAGGTATAGAAAATGTTCTCCCGATTAAGAATAGCTGCTGCTCCTTGTGCGTTGGCATGCCGTGGTGTACATACAAAAGAAAAAGGGAAGCTCTTGATGCTGAACCCCAGAACAAATAAAGTAAGTCGGATGGATATATTTCTTGAATTGGTGATGGTACTGTGGACCTTAACACAGGTTGAAAACTGCTGTGAAAGCAGGGCATTCATATCTTCGTATGCTGATGCTAATGCTAACAGCAACAACAACATTGAACATAACACATCAGGCATAGAACAAAGAAATGTCTGGATCATTGACATTGCAATTCCAGGGGATACCTGAGTTGAAAATAAAGAATTGGAAAAACTAACCAAGTACAGAGACCTGGCAATCGAAACATCTTGCCTCTGGAAGAAACATACTTCAGTGGTCCCCATCATCATTGGGGCTTTGGGAACAATATCAAGACATTTCACACAGTATGATAAGCAGTTGTAGATCTCAGAAATCATACCATCAGAGCTATAAAAACTGGCCGTATTAGGAACAGTATACATACTTGCACCAATATTTAACAGATACCGGTACTAAGATTTTTGGTTAAAACTTGTATCTGCTATATAATACCAGTCAATGTTATAATTTTGACTGTGCCTGGTGTTTTTGATTGTAGTAGTAGTAGTAGTAGTAGTAGTAGTAGTAGTAGTTATTATTCAGTGAGATGGGTCAAGTCTTACATTGAGCAAAGCCAGAGGGGGGCCCCCTTAACATTAAATGTGCTTAATTGGAAATGTGACAACATAGAGAATTGTGAGAAATACATTGACTTAATGGTAATAGTGGGCAGAGTATTGTAATGATGTGACAGAACCTCTGATTAGATGTGTTGTTGTAGCATTGTAGAATGTTTTCTTGATCATGAAGCAAAGTAGTTTGCAGCAATGTGGATTCGGTTTAAATCAAATTGATTTAAATCACAATGTAAATTATTAAAATTGGGTTTTTTAATGATTTAAATTAAAAATAATTAAAAATTTTAAATTGTGATTTAAATCATTTTGATTTTATTGATTTTTTGGGGAAAAAAATCATTTGTTTTTATCCACCCTACTTTCCAGACTGCCTTCTGTGAGGCAGGGGGCTCTTGTTAGCGTGGTTGGGCTTAAAACCTTGCCTGGACAGACTTGAGGACTGATATGAAGGGCTCTATAGGGCCTAGAAGAACTGCTGGCCTTGTTTTTTAAGAGACTCTGAGGTTCAGCAGCTGAAGGCCCCAAGCCAAGCCTGGCCTTCTGAGATGTGCCGTTTTGTTCCCCAGTGGTCCCCAGAGGCAAGAAAGGGAGAAATGGCTGTATAGGTCTATGTGTCTTGACAGGGGCAGCCGCTTGTAACCTATCATCCCCTCTTCAACATGGCATGGGGGCATAAACCTAGCATACATGATAAATGGAGCCTTTACCTGGAAAGGCAAAACTGGATGGAGCTTTGACAGTTGTATCTCATGACTTTTTATACTTCTGATTTTTTAAAAATTAATGTAATTATTTTTCCCTTGGTTGAGCTTGTTTTTATTACATTACTGTATATCATAATGATTATAAAATGCCTTCATGCGGATAATAAGAGTAATACAGTGGTGCCCCACTGGACGATTGTATATCATAATGATTATAAAATGGCTCCATGCGGATAATAAAGAGTAATACAGTTGTGCCCCACTGGACGATTACCCCGCTTGATGATGAATCCGCTTAACATCGATCGGTTCCCTGCTTTGAGAACCGATTTTTCACTTTACAACAATCAGCAAACAGCTGATTGTTGGGTTTCAAAATGGCTGCCGGCTGTAGAAAATGGCTCCCCGCTGTGTTAGGGACGGATTCCTCGCATTACAGACATCAGAAAATGTCCACCATATGGAGGTTCTTCACTGGACGAGCAGGTATTTTGCTCATTGGAACGCATTGAACAGTTTTCAATGCGTTTCAATGGGTTTTTTATTACGCTTGACAACAATTTTGCTCTACAGTGATTTCGCTGGAATGAATTAACATCGTCAAGCAAGGCACCAGTGTAGTAGTAATTTTTCTTGTAGTAAAATACGAGGCTTGATCAATTGGGTAGGTGCTGATAACTTAAACAGACACATTTTCGATTTCCTCAGGAGTTTTATGTTGAAGAAAAGCTTCGATTAGGATGGGAGGTACCAGTAGCTGAAACCTGAAATCAATGCTGGCTTAATGTGTAACTTGCACTCTTCCTTTCTTGTCTCAGGGTATGGCTTTCACGTTAAAAGAGCGTCAAATGCTCGGGCTTCAAGGACTTCTACCGCCCAAGATAGAGACACAAGACATCCAGGCCATGCGTTTTCATAAGAACGTGGCCAAGATGACCGACCCTTTGGAAAAGTAAGATTGGGATGGCAGACTTGTAATCTTTTGTGATTCATTCTTCAGAGGTTGATGAGAATATGCTTTTCCATTGTGATTTTATATGTGTGTTGAAATTTTTTTGCAAGGCCCACAAAAGATATCACAAATCCACTGGGGGGAAAAAGACAGCTCGTGATGAATTCTGTGCAGAGAAATGGTTAGTTCTGGTAACACTGAAAAGTGCCAGGTAAAAGAACGCCAAACAGTGGGGAACATGTCTCTGCGAGCGTGGGGCAGCCTTTGAAACATCCTCTCCAAAGTCTCCTCTTTTGTGTTTGGGGCCGCCTGTAACTGGAGGCCACACATCTTTGAACGCATTCCCATTCTCCAAATGTTCCCAATGTCCTTTATGGGTCTCATTCTCACAAAAGATTTTTTTAGAAGTCAGGGCAGCCAGCTGTCCTCTTTCACACCATTGTAAGTGCTTTGCCTAGTTTGAACGTTCACTATGGATATAGTTGATGATGAAAAGACAGATAATACGCCCAGGGAAGCAGTGTTTTACATAGAAGGATAATTTTATCAGCAGAACACCATGTTTGCTGTGCACACAGCCATTAACAAAATGATACACATTGTACAGAAAAAGATTGTGTAGCTGCACCTGTGCAAAAATGACATTGTTATGAGTCACAGGTTGCTGCGGAGTTTAAAAGGTTTCCTTTTTTAATTTGGACAACAGGCAACTGAGTCTTGTGCACCTCAAAAGCAAAGATTGAGAGAGAGAGAGAGAGAGAGAGAGAGGGAGAGGAACTTTTTTTTAAAATATAATTTATTGTCATTGTAAGTATATACACAAATTCACAAATTTTAACTCCACAGCAACCTGTGACACAAAATGTTGTCATTCTTTTTGCTCAGGAGAAATTGTGCAACAGACTTCAACTAAAACTGTTGATCACTGTATAGTTTTAATGGTCGTGAGCTGCCTTGGGACCCTTATGGGAAGAAAGGTGGAATATAAATAATATAAAGAAGTAATACAATTAATAGTGGTCATTTCGCCCCATAAGCACATTTCTTCAGCCTGATGTGATGCATGCATTCTTGGAATCAGCTCATGCTGACTTGGTTTACCTCCAAGTAGGTGTAGTGAAAGGTCACTTTCACTACAGACACTTAAGTGCAAAGTAAACAAGGACATTTTATAATTTCCTGTAAAATGCAATTTAAAACAAGTTAGTTTTTAGCAAATCTGTATTATTGAATGTAAAGGCTTCCTTGATTTCAAAGTATATTCTGTTTTAAATATTGTTCTCATCATTTAGCGTTCTTTTTCTACAAAAGAACTTTCAGATGTGAGGGATCTCAATGCAGAATAGAAAGTTCTTGCAGATGTATTTAGGAGACACAGCTAACTTCACAGCTATATGTAACATTGGTCTCCCAGTTGGGGTAGGGGAAACGATACTTGGTTCACAATCATTTTTTACGATCAGCTTTTAAAAGTCTCTGTGCTAGTTGTTTCTAGAATATATGGTTTTTAAAAAATGCTTATTTCTTTTTATGTGATCGTTGTTACATTTTTGTGTTTATTTTTATTTTTAAATTACTGACCTTTTGTGTTGAAAAGGGATGGTGGAAAGGGAAAGGGGTGTTTGTGGGAACATGAGGTTTTCTCAGAAATCAAGAAGGGGTTGCATGCACTAATAGGGCAGCATATAAATCAAATCAAATAAATAAATAAATAAATGTTACATGTTCCACGTGTCGGGACACTGGCAGTTATTGTACAAAAACGTGTTTTTGTTACCCGAAGTATCCAGGTAGAAAAATAACACTGGTTAATCGACCACAACAGACCATTACAGTTTTTCACATGTGGATTAAAACTTTTCCAAGCCATTAGTTGGCTTTTAATAAAAATATTCTATTTTTGTTTTTCTCTTCTGAAGTCAAAAGTTGCTGCAACAGAAACATGATTGGGAAGGGAGGGCATTAAGCAATTAACCTGTCTCATTGATTCCACCTACCGCTGTTTTCTACCTCTTCTGAAACTTCCTGTATCTTAGTCTGTTTTGGGATTTAAAAAGTGTTCGGTGCAGACTTTATACCCTTTTGTTCGATTCTGTGGCTATAAACAGCATGCGAGTTCTATGAACAAAATGGTTTGGGGTATTTTAAATTATTTTCCTTTTATTTTAGCTTCTGAATGTTCTCCAGCAGCAGGAAAACACCCACAGGAAAATCTAATCCTGCTTCTTTTTTGCTGCCTCATTTACAGATACATCTATGTGATGGGAATGCAGGAAAGGAACGAGAAGTTATTCTACCGGGTATTGCTAGATGATATCGAACAGTTAATGCCAATTGTTTACACACCAACAGTGGGCCTAGCGTGTTCTCAATACGGACATATCTTTAGAAGGCCAAAGTAAGGACAACCTTATATTCTATTTATGTGTTTCCCTTATTAGAAGGGAAATTTCCTCTGCGTAAACTCAGAAACAGTTGTTCTGTCAATGTATAATAATAATCATGGGCCGTCAAGTCAGTTCTGACTTGTGTTGACCCTTTTCAGGGTTTTCCAGGTAGAGAATACTTAGAAATGGTTTACTACAGTAGTGCCTCGCTTAACGCCGATAATCCATTCCAGGAAAATCGCCGTTAAGCGAAAACATCGTAAAGCGAAAATAAAAACTGCATTGAAACGCATTGAAACCCATTCAATGCGTTCCAGTGGAGTAAAAACTCACCGTCCAGTGAAGATCCTCCATACGGCGGCCATTTTCGCTGCCTATATAGTGAGGAATCTGTCCCTAAAGATAGCGGGGAGCCATTTTAATTACCCGACGGCCATTTTGAAACCGCGGATCAGCTGTTCTAAAAACATTTTTTTTTGCGAAGAATCGGTTCCCAAAGCAGGGAACCGATCATCGCAAAATGAAATTCCCCCATTTAGACCACCGTTTTGCGTCCACAATTGCGTCCGCAAAAAGATTGTCGTAAAGCGGATTCATCATAATGCGGGGCAATCGTTAAGCAAGGCACCACTGTATTCTCTTCTGGCACTGTGCAGCCGGCACAAGGCCACACAGGCTGGCTCCACTTGCAGGACTCACAGTGGGGGAATCAAACTCCCAACCTCTACCTAAACCACTGAGCATTCCAGACAGCTTGTTAATGTCTATAACATGATAAAGTCAGTGTTACATATGCATGCTGAACATTGCTATGTATAATTGCCTGTGCCTGTTTTCAGCCATTATCATGTTGTGCCTCCCTACCTAGTAAAAGTAGTTGGCTTGCCGCACCAAGCTTTTTCTATTCTTAGAGGCCATATGCTGAACAATGCTATGTATAATTGCCTGTGCCTGTTTATCTTGTTGAACTTTCCTACCTAGTAAAAGTAGTTGGCTTGCTGCACCAAGCTTTTTCTATTCTTAGAGGCCAGACAGAATAAAGGTGTCAACGCAGACAAACGTTATCTTTCCATGAAGGTTATGGACTCTAAATGATTTGATCACTTGTTTCCTGAGTAGTTTGCATACGTACAAAATTCACACCAGTTAAATTTGGTGGGTGGATGGGTTCCAGGAATTTCACTACCACAGTACTGTAGTTATACAGCCTGTCATCTGTGTGGCAAGGCCAAGGTGGCAGTGAAGGTAGATTGAAACCTTTACTTTGACCCCAAAGAGTAGGTGGCGTTTAGTGCAGGAAATCAAGGACTGTCGTAATAAAAGCAGTGCAATATAGATAATTTAATCAATCATTATTCTCTTCTGTGCCACGGGATTAATAATTATTTTTTCCCCATTTACAAATTGGAAACATTTCCTCTAAAAGTTTTGCACCACTATCAGTTTCTTCCAATGTAAAATATTGTGAAAAACAGAATATTAGGACAAGTGTTTTATCTGATCTCTTCCTCTTTCTCAATTGTACCCTCAATGCAAGCCTTTAGTTTTATTGTCAACATCGGTAATTGGTTTATGGATATTTTTTTTTCCAGGTGATGGAATGAGTGTGGCCTGAGTATTAAGATTTTATAAACTCCATTAGTCTTTAAGAATGGCAGGGTGTAGAAATCATAGGTTTGTTTTGCATTTTAAAAGTACAAATTTAAAATGGTTTCGTAGGAGAAAGAATGCATTTTAGAAAGCTTTTTAGAAAAACAAAACAAAAAAGGGGGGCAGTTAAAATGGATCAGTGGTGAAAGCATTTCCGTTTTGATTTTCTTGCAGAGGATTGTTCATTGCCATAACAGATAGGGGTCATGTTAGATCAATTGTGGACAACTGGCCAGAAAATGATGTGAAGGTACTGCCTCAATATATTTGCTTGTGTGTCTGTTTCGCTTGATGCTATCTTATAGAGTGGGTTGTTGATGGATAGATGATACTCAGGGATGTCCTTGTACTGTATTGCAAGCTGACATCTTAACTCCTTGTAGAGTGGGTTGTTGATGGATAGATGATACTCAGGGATGTCCTTGTACTGTATTGCAAGCTGATACAGTATTTGCATCCTATAAGGACCTCTCATGCTTTGTCTCTCAGGGATGTCCTTGTACTGTATTGCAAGCTGATATTTGCATCCTATAAGGACCTCTCATGCTTTGTCTAATTTGCACCCTCATCTATTATTGTGGCTTATCCACTTATTATTGGGCTTCTGATTTCTGGCTGTTGCAAAAATTAGGAATTGGAGAAAAGAGGCAGTAAACTTCTTGTGGAATGCATAGTGTTTGATTAGACCAGTGGTTCATGCAACGTTGGATCCCCTGATGTTCTTGGACTGGAACTCCCAAAAATTCTGGCCAGCACCAGTAGTGGAGAAAGGCTTTTCTGAGAGTTTTTGTTGGATCCCCTGATGTTCTTGGACTGCAACTCCCAGAAATTCTGGCCAGCACTGGTAGTGGAGAAAGGCTTTTCTGAGAGTTTTAGTCCAAGAACACTAGAGGACCCAACCACTGGTTTAGACAGGTGCATTCTCTCTGTGTGTCCCTACTTCTTATATTAGCAGAGCTTTCTAAAGTGTGATATTCTACCCTTTCTGAGCACTTCTGCAAATGTGAAGACAGTGAATAAGAATACTGTAGTAAAATTCAGTGCCAGCTGCCCTGTCCCACTTTCAGAAGACAACTATATGTCTGGGAAATCGATGATGCAACAGGGTTACCAAAAAGCAAATCTGTTCTACCAACTTTTCACTAGATTCTAATACAGTACAACTCTCCCTTCCTCAGAAGGTTTCTACAAGTTTGGTTTTGGTCAAAGCGGTGTGAATTTCTTCGAGAATTTCACACACCCAATCTGAACCGCAGTTTACATTTAAAAAAAGAGAAGAGGCAAAGTCAGTTGTGCTGTTGATATTTGGGCAAATAGCCAGATTCACCGGTGAGGTTTGTGTTTATGATGACTTCTTAAAGTATTGGAAAAATATGCAGACTTCCAAGTTCTTTAGCATTCTTTATCAGGTCCCTAGATTTTGAATTACAGATCTCAGGATTCTTTGGGAAGAGGAAATAAAGTGATCTAGTAACCCTGACCGTAGTACAAAGTGTGGTGTTGCTTTGAACATGTGATGTAAGCCACCCAGGGTCCTCTTGCGGAGAAAGGTGGGATGAAAATAAATAAATAAATAAATAAATAAACACCCAGTCTCTGTGGTATCTCCTTATCTTTTTTGTTTTGAAAAGGTTAGAATTTAGTTGAAAATTTATTTTATCCCAGAGCTATAATTGCAATTAATAAAGAGCTTAAAGACCACCAGTAGTGAATAATTAGTTGGACTGTGTTACTTGGCCTGCGGTATAGATGTTTGTATTTTTAGTGGGGGATTTTTAGTGGGTGGGGAGTGTTTTGGGGAATTTTATGTGTGTGCATGTGTCCCTGAGCTGTTGTAGCACATTTTTTCTCCTCTGACTGATGACAACGGTTCTTTTACCTTTTCAAGCTCCAAGGTCTCAGACAGAGAGCTTTTCTAACCCTGAGATTTCAGAGTCGTCAAAGATTGCATCTTAGCTCCTATGTGTGCAAAACATGAGGGCTTTCTCCTTGCCTATTCTTATATTAATAGTAATTTCATGCATTGAGCTAGCAAGGTGTTTGCCTCCTTTTGCATAACATGAGCTCCATACGGCAGCAACAAAAATGAGAAGTTGATCAGGTGGCTTTGCTCAGTTAGTGTAGGGGGTTCTCCATGCTGGACCAAAGCCTCTCTGGAAAGGTACATTGTTTGATAGGGCTTGTCATGTCAACACATGGAAATGTCATGGCAATTTCCCCCCGTAGGTGGCTCTGCACATTTTCTTAGCCTGTAGGTGCTGCCCTTCAGATGACAACCACCTCCAAAACCCTGCACTCAGTTTGGGGTTCCTGTTTAAACTTGTGAATAGGGACTCCTTTTTTTTTGAATGATCCTTATCACCAGTTGAGGCCAACAGCCAGTGTTCCCTTTTAGTCTGCTGTTATTATTTTGATTCAGCTGAGGGCTGACGTCACTCTGCCTTTTTAAAGTAAAAAAAGGTTTTGATGAGACACAGCAAATGTGATTCTTCTTCGTGGCCTCTGTGAATCACCCCCTGGGTGATCCGCGCCTGCGCGGAGCCTCATCAGAAGATTCTAGAGCTTCTACAGTAGCAATGAATGCATTAGAATATGTCCCTCCCCACTTCTGGATAGATAGAATGATACTTGCTTTGAAACAGGTACCAACAAGACCACTCTGTTATTTAGAGCCTCTCAAATATAGACCCACACTCAGTTCTAAAAACAATAATCCTAGTCAACACACAGAGCTCTTACTCAGCTGATTCACGGCTTTGACTTAACTTACTCTCATACGCATCCTTATATACAAAAGAACCAGGAACTGCACAGATCAATGAGCTCATAGTTCCATTTATAAATATTCTTTGAGAGACCTACTGTATATACAATGTAAAATTACCACCTTTGCCGCCAGATAATATATGAGGCCAAGCCTGAGTTTAATTAGCAAAGGAACAACTTATTTGCCCTAAATATTACAGAAGAGATTGAAAATTATTTCCTACTGGAAGAAAACGATCATGTAAAGGAGGTTGGGTGAGTGGTCTTGGCTACATTGGTCAAGGCTTATAAGAATTGCAGCCCAGTATTTGGAAGTCCATATGTTTTTCACTCCAGCATAAAAGCTCTTACAGTACTCCTTCAACATTATATGCGTGCATCTGATGAAGTTAAATCTCCGTTTCTACTTTCAAGGCTGTCGTCGTCACAGATGGAGAACGGATCTTGGGTCTGGGTGATCTCGGTGTGTACGGAATGGGAATTCCTGTCGGCAAGCTGTGTTTATACACAGCATGTGCTGGAATAAACCCTGATAAGTGCCTCCCTGTCTGCATTGATGTCGGCACTGACAATCAGGTGAGTTACAGTTTTTCCCCGGCCAGGTATTGGACACTCATTTGTCTTTGATGAGTTGAGACATCACTGAGTTTTGTCCTCCAGCAATGGCACTCATCCTGGTTGAGCAGTGGCACATTTTAGCTTTTTCTTGTCTGTGGTGCTCAGAATGCCCTGACCAAGCCAAGCTGCAGAGGCAGGCAACCCCAGCTTTGCTTGGGAACGATTCAAAATGCTTAAGGTTAGCCCTATGCAACTGCTTGCCTGCATGTGTGGAAGGCTGCATTTTTGATGGAGATGTGGGCATACCTGTAAGCTCTGCCCTGAACATTTCTGGAAAGGTCTAGAAATATGCTAGACCTGTGTGTATTTAACTTACAGATCTGGAAGGAAGGTTCTGTAAATGTGTTTGGCTGAACACAGTTGCAGAATTTCCATGATCCAAGAACCTTGCCTAATCAGGAACCTTCTATCACAGGGTTTTTAAACTCAATTAACCTGGGGGACGCTAGAGGCAGAGTCTGGGTGAGGCTGGGCCACATCAGATTTTCTGCCAAGTGGAGCAAGAGCCCGAGGAAGCCGCCCAGGCGTTTCCTTAGCTGACAGACAGGTGGGCTTGCTGGCAGGCTGCAGTTCTGAATGGAGGGTGCAAGA